CCCCCCCGGGGGGGGGGGAAGGGGGCGGCGCCCCAAAGCCGGCGGCGCCGAGCACGGGGAGCAGCGACGAGAGAGCAGCCAGCGGGCTAGAGCGCCCTTCCAACCCCGGCCAATGGCGCGCCGAGGGAAGGTGGCTTCCGTTGCTAGGGTGCTCCCGGCGTTCTTTGCGGCCGACAGCCGTTCCCATGGCAGCGCGGGGGTGGGGACGGGGCCCGGCTGCCCCGACGCTCCCTGGCGGGCGGCGGTCGGCGGGCATCCCTGCCTGTCACCGCGCGACACCTTCCATTGGCTGAGACGGGCGGAAGGGGGCGGGCGGAAGAGGAGCCGGCCGATGGCGGCGGCGGCGGCGGCGGGGCCGGTGAGGGGATGGAGAGCGGTGAGCCGGGCGGCGGCGGCGGGGGGCTCCTGCAGCAGATCCTCAGCCTCCGCCTGGTGCCTCGCGTGGGAAATGGCACCACCACCTACTCCAGCCCGCTCTCCACTTTCCCAGGTACCCCCCCCGCTGCGGGGCCTGCTCCGAGCGGGGCCGTCCCACCGCCTCCGCCGGCCTCGCTGGGGGCCTGCGGGCCCCGAGCCTGCCTGACGGCCCTTCTCTCCGCAGAGATGTGGTACGGCGTCTTCCTGTGGGCCCTCGTCTCCTCCCTCTCCTTCCACGTCCCGGCAGCTTTGCTAGCGCTCTTCACGCTCAGGCATCACAAGTACGGCAGGTTCATGTCCGTGAGCCTCCTGCTGATGGGCATCGTGGGACCCATTACCGCCGGCATCCTAACAAGTACGGTAGAGGCTCGAAAATACCGAGCGGGTGGCTCCATAGTGATCAGAGGTTGCCTTCAGGAGCGCATCAAACCGCGGCATTCCTCAGAGTAGAGAGGAGATGAATGTTTTGGCTATGTTTCCCCCCTTGCCCCACGTTTGACAGTTGGACTATCCCACCTATCGAACCCTTTGTCAGGGGTACCAAACGTGCCCATCAGGTGCAGAGCCAGGTGGGCTTTCAGGTTTCTGAGCACTCGGAGAAAAAACACTTACGGGTTTGGTGTCTGTGCCCAGAACTGGGTAATATTTGCGGCTTGTGGGCTGTGGTGCAGAGGATCATGTGACGAGAGAATGTCCAAAACCGCCCCAACCTCCACACCTTCTAGAGGCCTCAGCAGAGTTTCACCACCAATTTACACATTGCCACCAGCATGCCTTGGTTAGTGGCTGAGGTTTGCCACAGTAAATCATTTCTGCCATCTGGTGCACAGGGGTTCAGGGCCCTCTCTCACAGACCCCCGTGTTCTCTGCCCCAGTCTCACATCCTCTGAGACTTCCCCCTTCATCCCTGTGGTACAACAGCATGTGTCTCACGTGCGCTGTCACGCATTCATGTTTTGGCTTTTTCCCTTCTCCACAGGTGCTGCCATTGCTGGAGTTTACAGAGCTGCGGGGAAAAAAATGATTCCCTTTGAAGCCCTCATTTTTGGAGTGGGCCAGACATTCTGCGTGGTGGTGGTTTCGTTTCTACGGATTTTAGCCACTCTCTAGCTCTTCTTCAGATGCTAGAGATCACAAATCGAAGGAAGAGCAAAGGAGCTGCTGCCTGCGCCGTCTCTGAAACAAACCATGAGGGAGCACAACTCGAGGCGTGCCTCGGTGTGTGCTTTCTCCACTGGTTAAAGGATACGTGAGGGCCTGCTCCTGCCTCCAGCATGGCAGGAAATTAAGCTAAAAATCGTGAATTTTGTTACTTTTTGGTAACATTAAGTGCCAAGTGAAACTTTAGTTCTCTGGAGGATAGGAAAAGGGCTTCCAGAGGAGGAGGCCCACATACCTTTTACCAGTGATGAATTCTTGCAACAGGACGTAACTAAGATGTGACACTGGCTGTTCTGGGGTAGAAACAGTACTATAGAGTGATGTGATGTCTTCGGAGCTCACTTAATGCTTTGACTTCTTGCTGCTTTGTTTGCAGGGAACCTGAAGCTCTTTTAATGTGATTTTTTTAAATGAGAAACTTAATTTGTTTTCTTCCTAGTCCCAACTTCCTAATACCATGTCTTGGTCACAGTGAATTTGGGAGCAGCAAAAGGAAAAATAATTTTAGACAGATGACAGTGAAAATTTGCGACCAAGAGCTGTGACTATGAATGCTGCAGCAGGGGAAATAACCGGCATAAAAAGGATCTCTATTTTTGTGAATTTTATTATGGTAAAGCTCTTCTGGCACTGTGTACCTTCTGCCTGAGAGGCAAAGCACAGCTGAACGGGCGCTACGTCCTGCTGCCCATGCTAGAAATCCCAGGGCACGTGTGTGAGTGTGTGCTGTTGCTTCTCAGGCTCTGAAGGAGACTCGTATTTTTAAACTTCTCCTTTTACTTGCTGGTCATGTTTACATTGGCGTGGCGAAATTGGGTTTCTTCACTGATATGTAAACATCGCTGGCCAGCTTATATAAATTTCAGCATGCTGCTGCTTCAGTGACTGCGCTGGTGAGAACCGCACAGCTGGCACTGGGTTGTCGTGACTTGGGGCTTGCTGGGTGCAGAGGTGGGGAGCGCGCCGTGTTTTCGGCATCCAGCCCGCAGTGTGCCGGTGGGTGGGATGCCTGTGAGGTCCTGGGAGGAGTCTGGGTGATGCCCATCTCCATCAGGGACAAGCTGTGTGAACACAACCCCGAACCAACCCTTACCGGCAGGCAGTATGGTCTTTCCTAATGAATTGTTTTAGTTTGTTTTAAGTGACTTTTAACTAACTCATACCTGCCCTTTTGCCTGGAGGCATGCCACACGGCCGGGGCTCTCGGGTATTTAGCTGGGCGCTTTCTGGGGGGCTTGGTCTTTTGGGGCTCTTGGGGAAGCTGAGGTTGAATCCCAAGGATGTGGCTGGGCAGTGTAGCCAGCCCTGTGGCTTTGCTGAGGTCCTTGTTTGTTTATTACCAGCTGACATTTGTGTGGGCTGCCAAGGGAAGGCCCTGCCTATGTCCAGCCTCCCAGGACACACGTCCCATCTGTGTTTTTGCTGAACTCATTTGGTTTCCAAACCAGCTCGCCTTTTGTACCTGCAACGTTTTGTAAGGCCAGTTAGCCACCATGAACCCCGTGTCCTCTGTGCTGAAACAACCCTCAACAGGGCACTGAGTTGATCATGAAAGTGAATTTCTCTCTATGTACTAACTACTCCAGAGTGGTCTGTTGACAGCTGATGGTGAGAGGTGTTTTACAGGAGCTACTTACAGAGATTACTCTAAATTTTAGCCCATGTTAATTCGGGAAATAAAGCATTTTAGGAAGGACTTTAATGTGAATCTTTCTCCTTAGGTGGGTGAGGTCCAAGCGGTGTAACATGTACTAAACCCTGGATCTTCGGAGTGCCCCGTGTGCTGTGCTGCTTATAGAGAGCCAGTGTTCTACTGCGGCATTCCCCAGGGGAAGGTTGGGCTGCTCCTTCCCTCTTTGCTTCTGCCCCCAGTGAAAAAGCAGGAATAATGATCTCTCTAGATGTCTTTCCCGCTTCCCACTTCTTATTTCAAATGGCTGCATACACAGCGTGTGTCAGGAGTGCCTGGTTTAATTCATGTGAATTATCCTGCATTTTCCTGGATGGATTAAAAGTCTCTCATGGGACTTTTAGACTGGGAAGGTCTGGCCTTACCTTTCAGGTGACGCTAGAAACCAGTGTCCTGGACCCTGCTGTGCTCCCCTTTCCCCCTGCCCCAGTTACCCCTCAGTAGCAAAGACTAAGCTGATTGCAACTGGGAAAGCACTTTATCAGTGTGCCACGTGCTATGGCACGAGGATGACTCCTCTGCAGTAATGGGGCTGGGGCATGCAGGACACAAATCCGGGCTGTTAAGAGCTCAGAACAAATGAAAAAACATTGCTCAATAAAATCACTTGGTGCTGGACGAACTGAAAACATCCTGTTTTCTACCCATTGTGATCTCCCAAAGTCTGTTTTGAGGCGGGGGGTCTGCTTCACTTGAAGAGTTGGCAGCTTGGCCACTGTTTGGAAGTCGAGTCATTGAAGCCGGTGGTGCTTCTGTGCCCAGGTGCTGTAAAATTTTCAGGGAGTTCTTGCATAAAAGGTGAACAATCAGCTGCTGACTTGTCTTGACAGGTATTAGCGCTGGGGACAAGTTCTTTGTGTCGCCTTGGTACTCGCAGAGCATCCTCCGCTCCCCTGGCTGCCTTCCTGACCTCCCTCTCCGGTAAAACCGGATCCAAATGGGAAGGAGGAGTAGTCTTGAGTTGATGCACCAGATCGGTCACTGCCAGAAGTTTCCTCCCCTCGCACTGCATCGGTTTGGTCTTCCCTTTGTGTTCCTTATCCTGAGTGAGGCGAGCAGAGGAATCCTTTCAGTTTTCAGTGAGCGTCGGTAGACTTTGCTCAGCCAAACTTGCCAAAAGCTGCAAAGAGCTTGCAAAAATGTAAATGCTGAGGTGTCCCAGGCTGGGCAGTGTTGTGAACCCCTGGCTGGGGAGGCCAGCCAGGAGTGTCAGTCAAGGAAACACCTTGCAGAGAAGCCGCCTGCCCTGGAGAAATGTCCCTGCTTGAGCTGAGACTCGTGGCACTGCTTTCTGTGTGCGAACTTCCTCTGTGCTGGGCTGATTTAGATACCGCCCAACTTCCTATCTATCTCGCTAGCGACCGTGGCTGTCGTGAACAAATCTTTGTATGATAGAAAACTCTGTAAATTTTATTTTTCTACTGACACTTCTAATCCTGGTGGTGATTATCAGTAAATTCTGTAACGATCAAGATGAATGAAGTTGTGTGTTCCTCCTGCAGCATGACAAGAGGGCCTGGGTTCTGCTTCTGGAAATGAGCCTTGCTCCTGCCTCGTACAGGTCAGGTTTCTCTTGCCCAGGGCCACCTGGACCAGGAAATGTCCTGGTTCTGGTGGTTAATTTTGTCTCCGTTCGGAGCTGGACCCATGCCTGCAGCCAGGCACCGCAGCCCAAGATGACATCTCGCTGCTGCTTGACTGTTGGGGACGGACTCAGCCTATTTCGCGGCTGGGAGTCCCCGTCCCCGAGCAGCCATACAGGGTCCCCACAGCCCCTGGGCTTGATGCTGACCCGCTCCTGTCCCCCTGGGGCAGTTCTCACCCTGGGACAGTGGCTTTGCCAAGGCCATGGGTCAGTCCCTGCACATTGCTTGGGCTCTGCTGGGGGACCAGGCACGAGGGTCCCACTGTCCCCTTGCTGCTCTCAGGATGGGACCCCACACTTCACCTGCATGGCTGTGGCTAAGCCCGGGGCCGGAGTGATGCCTGTACTATGGGACCTGCGTTATTTTATATCTATATACAACCTCCAAAGACCGAGGTCAGCAAAACAAGTCTTTGTAAGAGGGTGGCAGCTGTGTGTGGTGGACATTTCCCGAGAGCTGGTGACCACCTGCCTTCGCTGCTCCCCCAGAGCCCTCAAGCGAGCATGCTCTGAGATCAAAACTGGCCTGAAAAATTCACATCCTGAGTCAGCAGGGATCCAGGAAGTTTTATTGGCAGTAAAAGGTCAGCACGTTCTCTTGGTTTCCTCGGGTGAGGATGACGGGGGGTCTCAGGTCCTGCGAGAGGGTCTCGAGCCAGGCCATGTAGAGGGAGCTGGGGCAGCGACCCTTCCTGCCGATGGGCAGTGTGCTGCAGCAGCAGGAAGGGGCCGGGTGAGCCAAGCTCCATCCTTAACCCTTCTCTCAATCCAGTGCTAATTTTGAGGTAATTTCCCTAAAAAGGGGCAACACCACATCCTCCCCCCCGCCCCCCCATTAAGACTTGGACTGGACCCCTTGGTGCCTTCCGAGGGCTTTTCACTGCGGTGCGGCACCGTCCCAGGATCTCCCCGTGCTGGGGGGAGTGAACATTCAGAGGGACTGTTTCCGTGGGGCAAGAAACAGGCGTGAGGGCATTGCTGGCACCTACATGGCTATGAGTGCTGCATCCCGTGAGTAATCCAGCAAAATCTCATTCAGCCTCACTTGTCGAAGCGTCTGTGGAGCAAAGAGTGTTGACAAATGCAAAATAATTGTTGCCAAAAAGACTGAATTTTGTCTCAAAAGCAGGAGACCCCCCCGGCACTGGTGCTACCTTGGCTCTGTTTTTGTCAACCTCCTCATCAGAAATCTTCCAGGGACAGTCCTGCCTCATCTCGTTCACCGTGGCCTCATCTTTGAAGCCGTCATTTAGCCTGAAGGGAGCGATCAGGTCATCGAACCTCTTGATGCTGCAAGACAAGCAGACGGTGCTGGGGAAGGGGGTCTGGGTGGGTTTGGGGGTGCTGGGGGAGGGGGGGGAAGGGGACGGGGGTGGTTACTGCTCTGGCCGGGGTTTCTGGTTGATGTCAGGGAGGATGTGGACCTCGTGGAAGCCGAGGCGGAACTTGCTCAGCAGAGAGACGATCCTACCAGAGGTAAATGGACACATTTTTTCCAAAAATTGCACAGCTGCCCTGGCAGGGAGCTGCCCTGGCAGAAACCCCCGCCGCCATCCTCAGTTTGCACTTGTTTTTTTCCCACTCCAAAATCCCATTGATTTTTGGAGGAGAGAGGCAAAGCAGCCAGGTCGGAGCCCACAGATCCCATTATGGCAAAGCCTGGGGGGCTTGGGGCGGGGAAGCAGCTCCTGCCACCCACCCATGGGGAGAGCAGCGGTGGCCATGTGGCTAAGAGGGGCTGCGGGGGTGTGAGTGGCCGCCAGCACTTACGCCTTCCTCTCCTCATCCATCCTGTTGATCTGCCCGCCGACAAACACCCGGATTTTGCACTTTGCCCACCGCTTCTTGCGCCCCAGGAGGTAGGGGATGAGCAGCGTGAGACCTGTCCCCAAAACACCCGATGGGAGACGTGGTGGCGGCAACCCCATGGGCTCGCCAGTGCTTTCTTCACCCCAGATGCCAGGGATGCCCTGGCACCAATTGGGAAGGACTGAGCCCTCCTGGGCACCGTGATGGAGGTCCTGGGTTCACATTATCTGGACAGATGGACGGTGAAGAGCTGCAGCCAAAGGTGAGGGTTACCTCCATCATCGAAGAGCCAATAAATGTCGATGGTCTTCTTGCCCTGCTCGCTCTGGAAGATGGTGCTTGCCTGCTGCTCGCCAGCCAAGGTGGTGGGGTCCACTGCCAGGGCAAGAAGGTCCTGGTGTCGATGTGGGGCACTGCTGGCCACAGATTAAAGGCACCACTTCCTCCTGGTCCTGCAGCCCTGCTCCCCGTTGCTGCTTGAAACCCACACCCCCGCCTGCAAACCTGGCTCCCTGAAAATAATCCTCAGAGCTGGGAATGCTCCGGGCGGACCGAAGACAGGACCAACCTGTGCCTGGGGCTGCTCTGCCACCAGTGCCGTTCTCCTCAGGGTGCTCTGCTGCCTCGAATGTGGGGTTAACTGGGGAGGGAGGGGAAGAGCACGGGCAGCTGGGCAGCACCCTGCTGTCCCCATCCCCTTCGGTCCCAGCCCAGGAATGATGTCTCCCCAGGACTGTGACCTTCACCTGGGAACACAGTGCCAGCTGGCATGTCCTACAGCTCCGGCACATCTCTGAGCATCGTCAGCTGCCCAAAACCGCTTACCGTGAGCCTGCATCACTCGGGAAACATTCAGCCCTTCCTTCATTCTCATTAAGCACATGCCATACTTGAAATCGAAGGCATCGCTGGAAGGAGGGAGGAGAAGGCAGTTAACGGTGGCCAGCTCATGTTGGGCAGCATTGCCAGCCCGGCTGGACCCTGCGCACGTGGCCACAGTGTCCCTGCACCCAACTACAGGGCCACTGCCGGGTGCTGGCATCCCCGAGGGGCAGAGGAGCCAGCATGGCCGTACTGCAGGATGCCCACGTAGTCCTCCAGGCTCTGTGGGGACGCTGTCTGCCAGTTCCTCTTGTAGCCCAGCACCAGGATGTTGGGTCTCATCTTCCCGAGGCCGGCAGCCTACGGATAGATGTCCCTATGAGACCCCTCTGCAGGGACAGACAGACACAGATGGTGTCAGTCCACCGAAGAGCGATGCAAACGGGGATGCCTGGAGGTCAGGGAGCGGGGTCAGAGCCTCCTGAGCCATGATGGAAGAGGAGGGATCCTGATGGTCAATGGCCAAGGACGGCTCTACCTGGATGAGCATTTGGACGCCACTTCTCAGATCCTCAGCCACCACATCCGTGTAGAAAGCCTTGATCTTCCTCTTCATAAGCCACTTGGTGTGGCCATCTGCTGTCAGCCGGGACTCCGGCATCTTCTGCTTCCGCGGTCCCTGAGGGGAGCAGGGGCAGGGGCTCAGGCACAGGCAGCCCCTTCCAGCTGGTGGTCTTGCCACCAAGGACCTCCAACTCTTCTCTTCCCAAATCATTGGCAAGACCTGGATGTAACCACTGCACACATGGGAGTTTGCAATCACAGCAAGAAAACCAGTGAATTTTGGGAGTCGACAGCCAACACACACGATGCCAGCAGTCCCATGGCTGTGGATGAGCTGGCATTTGCTGCACCACATGTCCCCAGTTGCTCCTGAGGCTTCAGGGCTGCAGGACCACCCAGGGTTGAGCAACCACCTCGTCCTACTGCATCTTTGCTTTGGCAATTAATTGGCAAGAGAAAGCTATTAGCCCACAGGGACATCCTGATTCTTCATAAATATTGCTTAACAAGCTGGAGAGCCTTCCAGACAAAACATTTCATCATCTGCTGGCACATAAATGGGCACATTTCAATCCCCACCCCGTGAGCCCACCAGGACACATCTGGATTTCCCAGCCTGCTGCCCACAGGTGGCCGGAGCCCCCAGGACAAGGAACCAGCCGGCTTTTGTAGGTGACTCACGATCAGCACGTTGCCACAGAGCATCAGGCTGAGGTTCTTGGTGAAGGTCCCCACGAAGTCCACCAGGGCTGGGCGGAAATTGGGAGGGCCGGTCAGCACCAGGCACTGCGGTCTGCAGGCAGGGAGAGAAGAGGGGGCACAGGCTGGTACTTTGGAGGCACTGAGCCTCTCTGGAACGTGTCTCTTCTCCCATGCCTGGCCAGAGGCAACTATAGGGACCATCTTTAGGATGAGACAAAATCATGCAGCTGATTGTCCAGCCTCACTCTTTGGTCTTTTTATATCAGATGAGACCAACACGTTTGCATCTGCCTGGCATGGCGAAGACAAGGTTTGCTCTGCTTTCCACCTCTGCCCACACAGCAAAGACGTCGGATTTTGGACACAGCCACATTTTGATGGGGCTCCCAGTTCCTGAGGTTGGTGGTGAGGACATGGCCATGGGCATGAAGCCACCCTGAGTTTGCTGGTGGCAGCGGCTGGCTCTGCATCCCCCTCCCTCTGTGCCCAGCACCATGCCGAGCCGCCCTTGCCTGTAGTTCTTGATGTGATCGTCCACTTCGCTCAGCCCCACCGAGTAGTTCAGGGCCATGTTGTATGAGCTAGCTTGCATGGAGGAACCCCAGTTGACATCTACGTGGGGAAGATGGATTAGCAACGGGGCCAGACACCTCCTGGGGCATCACTGGGGCCAGGTTACCGCCACACACCCGGCTTTTTGTAGAGGACATATCCCAGGAGGAAGATGACAATGCCGAAGGCAATGAGGGCTGCCCACCATGTCAGCAAGAACATGATCACCACTGAGACAGCGGCTCCAAAGAGCGCAGCCCACTTGCTGTAATACCGAAAGGAGGGTCGCCAGCCTGCACAAAAACACACACAGCGGCCGCTGCC